ACAATAATGGTAATGAACTAATTAACTAGTATAATGAAAAATGTAACAATAATGGTAATGAACTAATTAACTCGTATAATGACAAATGTAACAATAATGCTAATAAACTAATTAACTAGTATAATGAAAAATGTAACAATAATGGTAATGAACTAATTAACTAGTATAATGAAAAATGTAACAAGAATGCTAATTAACTAATTAACTAGTATAATACTAGTTATAGTAAGTAATATATAATATAATGTTTATAGTATATAATATATAAGTATACTACTATAAGATGAGTAATACACTTATATTTTATACTTTAATATATAAAGTATATAATAAGTAGATGTAGAATGTATGTATTAAGTGGATATAATAATTGTATAAGAATTAAATATTAGAGTATAATGGAGAATTGGAGATTGGAAAATAAGAAAATAAGTATATATAAAATATAAGTAGAGAAGTATATATTATTATGTATTAAGTATATAGTAATAGTTTATAAAGTATATTTAATACTTTATTATATAAAGTATATATTAAGTAGATGTAGTATGTATGTATGTATTAAGAGATATAAGTAGAGATTAAGTAGATAAGAAATTTAAGTAATATAGTATATGTATTTATAAGTAGATAATTAATATATAAGTAGATATAATAATTGTATAAGTATTAAATAGTAAAATAAAATATAAAGGAGAATAAGAGAATTTGAGAAGATGAATATGGAGAATTGGAGATGAGTAGAGAGTAGGATTTAGATAGAGTTGGAGAAGAGGTGGGAAAAAATGTTTAAAATTAGGAGTATTTATAGGTTTTTTTTAACCCCCCCCCCCCCCCCCCACCCCACCCCCCCAAGGGCCCCGGACCCCCCTGGTACCCCCCCCAACGGCTATATAGCCGTTTGGGAAGTGGCTGTTGAGCCAAAAATGGTTTTTAAAATTAAAAGAATTTTTTTTAAAAAAAAAATTGGACCGTTAGGCCCGGGCTGGGCCACCGAAACCAACACCCGAGCCCGGAACCGCCACCCCCACCGGTTCGGTGCCCGAACCGGACCCGGACCCGAGAACCGGGCCGGTTCCGGGCCTGCACAGTGACGGGCCGGGCGGCCCGAACCGGGTCCACCACTAGACACAAGAAATCAAGGAAAAGAAGAATGAGAAATTAGAGAGATTAGGAAAGAAGGTTTGGTTAATGAAGAGAATATTGAAGTTAGGAGCGGTTTGATAGCACTAGAATTAGCTGAATCGATTGATCATGCTAAAATTAATGAAGTTTCAGACTTTCAGTTAAAGTTGTTGAATCTGCTGAATTATGAAAAAATTACATTTAACTCCTATTTTGATCCAAAAATATGATTTATTAACTCCTATTTTGTGAAACTTTAATCAACTTGTTCTCTCAATAGGAGTAAATGAGTAAATAAGTTCTATTTGATGAATATATAAAAATTGCTCTAAATAATAGGAGTAAAAACGTTCTCGAAAACCAAAAAATACGAGTACTATATTTTTATCATTGAAATATGAGTTCTTACTATCATGATTGAGGAATAATGTTGGTAATCGCGGTAACTATTGCCATGTTAATGTTTAATACTCCGTACAACAACTATATAGGCAGTAATGACTCTAAGATGGCCCTAAAAAAGTTTGTCACTCTTATTTCGAGAAGAAAAACATAGCAATCCCTTTTTGAAATTTTCAAACATTCTTATTCATATTTCGGATGAACAAACATACTTAATCCTATTTTTAACTTTCCCTATATTTTGGTCCATTTTGTTTTTTGAGCAAAATTCTATTTTGGAACCCACCTTTATAATTTATCTTATTTAGATAGTGCACTAATCCCACTAATACAACGGACATGTTTGCCATTTTGCGGTTAACGGATAACGGATTATGTTAGCAGATTGTCGATGGTGGATTGAATCAGCGGATTTGTCTAGAGTAATAAGTTGGTGGTTGTCAGAAGGTGTTTGGTAATTTAGTTGTTTGACCATAAAATTAGTTTGAAATGTCATATTTCAAAACGCTAACCCAAAATACTCATATTTGAAGCGTTGACATTTCAGAGTTCCTTCCAAAAACTCTAGTGCCGAACAGTTATTTACTAAACAAAGATTCCATTTATCAAAAAACACCAAAATGGTCAAACCGTCATTTTATATTAAAATGTCATTTACCAAACACCCCACTTGAATCTCCAATTGGAAATCATTGGTACGTTCACGAAAGATTCTATAAATTAACATCTTACTTAATAATGCATGTCTTGCTTTAAGGGGCTAGCTAGACTAGTGTGCCAATATCCAATCCATAAGAGGCTAACATTGACATTTTTTCATGTTCTTTTTTGCTCCAAACAACCATCAGAATTGGTGGAGAAAGAGGTAAGAAACTCTTATTGAGTTTTATTTAAAAATAATGATCAAATACAAACGCGAAAACTAAAGAATGATGTAAAGTACAACTAATGAAAGTTAACGCTAATGAACGAGAACACAAATGAAAACGCTCATGAATACTCCCTCCGTCCCATTAAAAGGTTCCACTTTCCTTTTTTGAACGTCCATTAGAAGGTTCTCATTTCCACTTTAGGAAACAATTAACAAACTTAAGAGACAAATTAATCATTAAATATTAAAAATAATACATTTATAACATCATAGTTATCAATACTAACTACATTATAATATATATCTATTAAAATTATTTCTCAAAATATACTCGAAGTACTTTATTTAATTATTACCTAAATAATCATGTCGTTTTGCTATGGGAACCTCCTAACGGGACGGAGTTAGTACTATTAACGAGATTTTACTATAAGCCGTGTGAAGGATTGTCTCGACCATTAAGAATTTCATAATGGGTAGAAATATGTACTCAATATAATATCAATACTTTTAAACTTATCCTTTTGTGTTCTATATAAAAAAAATCCATGTGGAAACCCCACTTAGTTTGGGTGCGTAAAATGCTTTTTCAAATCATTGGTTCGAATGACCAAAAGAAAAACTTATCAATTAGAACATACTTGAACCATTCGGAAATAATGTGAATCCTCTGAAACTTGAATGAAGGGTTCACTCTCCACTCGAGGAAGGGGGAATCGTTATACAAGAAACAAAGAACTTCAATCCCGACTTAACTGCTACGTAATGAAATCATTCTAATAAATTAAATGTAAAGATCCATAATTTTTAAGAGATGAATTCTTAAATGATACAATCATGTTATAATTAAAATGAAAATGTAGAAACTCATAAACTAATTATTTTAAGTACAACACCGAAATGTAACATAAAGTGCAAACTAACTAAATTCTTACACTAGCAATTAGCAAATAAGCACTATTATAATTAAATTATGCATGTTCTTACAAGTTAAAATATTCGTAATTGATTCTATTTAATTTTGCAAGTCTAGCACCTAGTTATACGAGACTAATAATAATTAAAAATAATACGGAGTAATAAAGAAAATTTATAAAATACAAATTAATGTAATAAAATGTAATAGTAATAAGGATGTTTTAAATTAGATTATAATTAAATTCAGACCAAATATAATAGAAAATATATACTTGGTATAAAATAGACATCTATCATGTCAGACTAATTCAGACTTCACCAGACAAAACCAGATCAAATGACTAGAAAATTCCAATCAAATAAAAAACATACAAATATTAAAACTAAAATTATAAAATACTCCTCCCGTCCTAGAAAACCTTGCCGTGAAAATTTACAAATATTTCTCTTTAGTGTGCATAAATAATTAAATATCAACCACATATTCACATGACGTTTACTTTATATTCCATGTGCAAGTCAAGTTTAGTTAAACTTTATAGGATGAAAGAGTTAACGATCTATTTAGAATAACCAGTGTATTAAGAGTGTTAGCAACTCCCATCCTGTGGTTTGGTATGAAAGAAGATTTAAAAGTACTCCTTAATGATATATAGCTTGATAGCCATAGCCATTGGGACAAGAAGCAACTCGGTCTAGTCCCATACTCCCATAGGGATGAACTCGGGTCAGTAAGGTCCCAGTTCCGGGCCAAGAATGCTTGATCCGAAAAAACTCAGTCGATTCAGGACTGACTTGCTATTTTCCATATATAGGCCGGTCCAGGGTACCCGAGCGGTCCAATTTCAAACTCGAACTTGTTATTGGTTTTTGGGGTTTTTTGGGTTTCAAGCTTAAAAAATTGGCAAGTCCGCGGCCGGAATCGCCCGATTCAATTCCCAAATAGGTGAACCAAGACCGTGAACCGCTCTTGGGCGGACAGAGCCAGTCCAGGACCAAAACATGAAATTCTTTACCCGGTCCAGTCGCAAACTGTTCCGAACCCGGTTCCGGACCGGGTCCAGCCCTTGTCCCATATATTAAGATCGAAAATGTGCACAAATTGACTCCCTTTTGAAATTTGAAGTCATATAGCATAATAGACCCATCAAAATCATTTATTTTTAAAGTAGAACAATTCATCATAAAACTGAATGGTTATTAAGTAACGACATAGGTCTATATGACTCCCTTAGGCTAACTGTAACTCTGCCCGTCAATAAATCTAATACTGCTCCTATTAATACGTATTCACTCAGTCAATTAAGTTTTTCTCTGCAACCCAGTACCGTCAATATATCCACTCAGCACATTTTTTTATAATTAAATGCATAAATCCTTAGTTATTTTATTACACATCATTTGTGTATTAATTTTGTTTCGACCAATAATTATTGTTTTAAAACGCAAACATTCCAATGCAAAAAAATAAAAAATGTGAATTAATTTTTTTTAAGTATTACAAATGCGTACTTGAGTTCAATTTGAAATAAAATCAAAACTATTACTTGTTTTCTATATTTCTATATTAGTAATTTTCATTTTATATACTATGAACTTGTTTAATATCAAATTTAAATCAATTGAAACACATGTTGTAAAATTAAAATACCAGCAATCAATTACTAGAAACACACATAATATTCGGTACTATAATTAAAAAAGAGGAAGAAATCCTAATACATTACAATAATGAAAAAAGCTACTAATTGTAGTAGCATTATTGAACTGAAACGAATGAAAAACAGTAAATAACATAAAAGTAACACACTACATTTCGGGAAGCTACTAATAGTAGTAGCATTATTGAACTGAAACGAATGAAAAACAGTAAATAACATAAAAGTAACACACTACATTTCGTTCCCGTGATGGCCCCACAAATGATTCACGAGATCACTTTTAAGAGCAGTGTGCACCACAGTGCTCCTGATGCGGTTATGTCGCATCATGTAGTCGTGCAAAGTTGGGGCATCGTGATTAAGATCAAACTCAATGTGCGGAACAGTATAGTCATATTGCGCACTATAGTCTTGAGTACTTGCATCATCATCTGTTTCTTCATACTCATCTTCTACAATCATGTTGTGTAAAATAATGCATGTCAGCATTATATCACGTAATGTCTGCGTTTGATACATTCGACCGGGTCCTCGTACGACAGCCTATCGCGTTTGTAAAATGCCAAACGCTTTTTCCACATCTTTGCGATAGGCCTCTTAGCAGCAAAGAGGCGTTTCTTGGGGGTGTCGGGGTTACTAATCGTTTTAACAAAAGTAGCCCATGTGGGATAGATTTCGTCGGCTAAATAATAACATTGATTATAGATGTTATTGTTGACCATGTAACTTACCTGAGGAGCACATCCATTAACAACAGCATCAAAAACCGGAGAGCATGCAAGTACGTTAAGGTCATTATTTGAACCCGCCGTCCCAAAAAATGCATGCCATATCCATGTGTCGTACGAAGCTACGGCCTCAAGCACAATAGTTGGTTTGTGCTTGTGCCCAGTGAACTGTCCCGCCCATGCCGTAGGACAATTCCTTCATTCCCAGTGCATACAGTCGATGGACCCAATCATTCCGGGAAAACCTCTTTTTGTAGCCTTCTCAAGAAGACGACGGAGGTCATTGGGGTTTGGTGTTCGCAAGTACCAAGAACCATATATTCCGATAATTTCCTTACAAAATTTCTTCAAGCACGACAAAGTCGTGCTCTCCCCTAGACGACACAACTGATCTAACGAATCGGCAGAGCAGCCATTTCCTAGCATGAATATGGCACTAGTAATTTTTTGGTAAGGAGAAAGTGATACCTTATTGAGTGCATCTTTTTTTCGTGCGAAGAAAGGATAGGCTCCGACGACATCATTCATTATTCGATCAAACAAAGTCGGTTGCATGCGAAAACGACGCCGGAATATGCGAGCGTTATATGTTGGATTTGGACTCCAATAGTCATCCATCAAATGTTGGTGGCCTTCTTCCCTGCCTCGGTCAATGTACTCACGGTGACCACCGGAGCTTGAAGAAACAAGTGTCATCATAACAGCCATTCTCATACGATGAGTGTCGGCCTCACAATCATCATACTCATCTAAGGCTGCTGACATATCGGGATAAGAACTCATGATAAAGGAATATATTAGAGTGTATAGAGAAATGATGAGGATTGAGTGTGAGAAGATTGTGAGGTGAGACATGTATTTATATATATATAAAATTAAGCAAATGGCAAGATGTTTCAAAAACAAGTGGGTACTTATTATAGGAAACAATAGTTTTGGTGCGAAGAAAGACATAAACCCATATTAAATGTGAAAACTTGTGAAAACCGATGTTCAAGGCGCACCCATATTAAATGTGAAAACTTTAAATCATATACCTCCATTAAAATATCTCTTGCAAGTGTAGCAAAAATCCAAGAACGCACTGTTTGATCAATTTTAAGCCAATGATGATAATCTGGATCGGCAGGAGAAGGAACAACAATTGAACCATCCACGATCCCGAGTAGAGAGTGGGATACAAGGAAAGATTCAAATTGTGTTCGCCATGGTAAATAATCCTCCACAGCAGAGAAACGGGTAGTAACAATATTGGTCACGTTTGGTGTTGAAAACACCAATTGTGATGACAAAGTGGAGAGTAAACCTGAAGTAGGGGCCGAACCTGGGGCTGTTGAAGACTGTCCGGGCAGCAAAGGGTGTACACCGGCCTGGCCTGAAAAGGTGGGTCCCGCAAACGGCATAGGAGGTGCACCGATGACCGGATTAGAAGCTAGCGACGTCAGCACTGGAGGCGGTGGTAGGCTTACGGTAGGAGTCCAAGAAAAAGGTTCCGGCATATTGAACAAGCTGTAGGATTCTAGGGATGGAAACTGCGATAGCCTTGGACGAAAAGTCGGTGTGAGGGGTGACCGAGATGCAGCGACGTCACCTGAAGCCGTGGTGGGAACGACACTGCTCGAGCCCGTCTCGAAGGTCGCCGCAGGTCTGCCGAGGGGGCTGATTATCGCGGACGAAGGCAGCACCGGCTGCGTGGGCGCCTGAGGTCCAATGTGTTGCGGCTGCTCCGGTGAGATGGGCGCCTGCCTTGGATCGACAACGCCAGTCATGATGGCGGAAATAGGGGTACCGGCCATAGGATGGAGAAAACCTAGGCAGCTGATACCATATAGGAAACAATAGTTTTGGGAAACAATGGCTTACCCTATTGGGTGCCTTGAGTATATATTTATAATAAAACAGAGTTATGGAATATTACAAAGTAATCCCTAAGTATTACATTATTACTTATTAGATGTGAAAGGACATAGCAAGTGGCTACTATCTACAAAGGACATAGCAAGTGGCTACTATCTACATGTGAAATGAATAACCAAGTTGGTACTTATTAGATGTGAAAGGACATAATAAGTGGCTACTATCTACATGTGAAATGAATAACCAAGTTGCTACTTATTAGATGTTAAAGGACATAGCAAGTGGCTACTATCTACATGTGAAATGAATAATCAAGTTGGTACTTATTGGATGTGAAAGGATAAGGCAAATGATGGTTTACTCAAATATTTTTAAATAACTGAAATGCAATTGAATTAAATAACGAAAACTGAAATATATTGAATTAAATAACGAAAACTGAAATGCAATTACATTAAACAACGAACACTAAATATATTTAGTTACATAAGGAAACTGAAATAAGGAAAATGAAATGCAATTGAATTAAATAACGAAAACAGAAATACACTTGAATTAAATAACTAGTATGAAATTTGAAATACAGTGGAATTCAATATCAAAAAGGAAAATACGAAATTTGAAATACATTGGAATTAAATAACTAGTACGAAATTTGAAATACACTGGAATTAAATAACAAAAACGAAAACTGAAAAACTACACCATCCATGCCCTAGTCAAAATTAGGAAAGTAGTCATTCCCATACGCGGAAGTGGCGGCATCGGTACTCGAGACATCTTGATCATAGCCCAAAATGGCATTTTGTTGTTCTCTTAGCCACTTTTGCTTCCTCGGTGAGTACGGACTTAGATCCATGGTTACGACATCTATATGTTTCAGTCTTGTAGTCACATCAGCATTCACCTTTGCCGCCTCATACCTCTCCTCTCTTCTCTTTTCCATTACCTTGCCTTGTTTCACCATTCTTTCCATGTACTCAAGCATCACAGGCTCCGTCCTTGAATTCTTATTTTTACAATTTTCTTCCCCTTCTGTTTGTCATGCCCCTCGGGGCGTCGAAGAGGGCCACTTATACCATCGGTAGGAGAAGAACCACTACTTCCTCCAACAAACGTATCGGGAGTGACAGAAGGTACGGACGTAAAAGTGGGAGTAGTATCATATTGTTGATACCACTTCAGACATGCTTGAAGTATATGCCAAGCATGATCAAATTTAAATGCCTTGTCACGATTGTCGTTTACAAAGATTGTTTTTGCGGCCATCGTCTACAAACAAACATTTACGTATTATTATATACGGAGTACCACTTATGACATTGCTATAAAACACATATTAGACTATACACGTATATAAATATACTACATATAATACACACACTATACACGTACTAATATATATTATACTATATAAAATAGTATGTTAATAGAAATAACGGGTATTAGCCCTAAATAGGACTAAATAGTTGTTGAAATTCCAAAATAGGAGTATCTCTATTTTTATTCCCTAATTAGGACTTGTATTCCAAATCTGCCCTCCCTTTAATCTCGACATTTCAAAACGTGCGCATCATCTTTAAGCTATCTATACGGCAGTGAGGCGGTCCATTCTCTCTCCTTCATCTTCTGCAAAACGAGCATCTATGTGAGACAGCAGCGGCGAGATTTGAGGTATGGCAGCGGCCGCGAGATTCCAGGTGAGGCAGCGGCAGTGAGCAGCGAGCAAAGGCGGTGAGCAGAGGGGACCAGCGGTGAGAAACGGTGGAGCAACCGTGAGCACCCAAATCCGGTTCGAAGTAGCTTGTTGGTCGTTTTTCTCCTCTCTTCTTCTATCATATTCTTCTTCCTTAATCTCTCTTGGCCTCCAGATTATCTCCTCCTCTTCGATTTTGTTGCAGATCTAAATTTTTGTTTCTTTGATTGTTAAAAAATGTCAAATTTTGTTACAAAAATGCCAACAAAATGGCAATATTACTCTTCAAAAATTCCATGTTTTGTTTTGAAAATGCCATTAAAATGACATTCTCAATTTATGTTGGCATTTTGATAAAAAATTTGAAATCAGTGCCTACAATGGCCAGATCTTGAGGGTGGAGGCCGGTTTTTGCACCAGTGGCGGCCGGATCTGCAGGGGGCAACCGGCGGCGGCTACATTTGGCCAGATCTACGGCGGTGGGGGCAAATCTTTAACGGCGACCGATAGATCTGCAGAGGGGGCGGGCAGATCTACATCAGTGAGCTTTTTGAGGCAGCGCAGGCGGCCGGCGGCCGGCAGCGACCGACGACCGGCGGCAGTCCGGCGACCGGCGGCAGTCCGACGTTCTGTCACCAGGAATATGTGTTTCCAAGTTTCAGGGTTATTTCTGTCCAATTACAAATAATAACTCCTGTTTAGGGAATTTTTAAATTTTAGTCCTATTTTAACAATTAGTGATTTATTTACTCTTGTTTAGGTAAATCCCCCTAGAAATAATGTATAATATATGCGTAAAATAGAAATTATGTATAAATAATTTTATATACTATAGCGTGTAAATTATTTTAATAAATATTTTTATACACTTGCTTTTAAATACGAAGTAATTACTAACATATAATTATACTATATATAATTATACTAATACGTAAAAATTATGTATATTAATAATGCAATATATAAATAATATTAGTAATATAAATAATTATAATAGTATGTAAGATAGAAATAATGAATAATATATTCATGTAATACATAAAATGTTGTAATAACATTAGGGAGGATATATTTTAAAATACCACATCGATTAGGTTGGATCCACTTCTCTGGGTTGCATTTGCCTTTTGCAAACTCCCCTTCCATAAAGAACACTGATTGTTGATAACTTTGAACCGTGATTCAACCGCCTCCCTAGTTCGAACTACCGTATTTGCCTTTTGGCAGAACAACATGTGAACTCGAGACCAGAATGAATCGCCTGCTTGATTGATTCCGACTGCGCCATCTTCGGAAATAGACACCCAAGAGTTACACAAGAATACATCTTCATTGTAACTCCAATTAGAACCCCTCTTTTGTGAAGACATGTTATTAAGTAGTATTACAAATTGCTAAAAAATCAGATATAAAGTAGAGGATGAATGATGATTGAGGTGTATTGGAATGAAGGTATGAGTAGTATTTATATAGAAATCTCATTCCATTTTTTTTTAAATAATCAAAAAATAAAATAAATTATTTTACCCATCAGATATAATTTTCAACCGTTGGATACCTAATTTGTTTTTTGTGTGTACCAAACCATTGTAGCCGTCCGATTTACCTAATTTTTAGCTACCTCAATTATTTTTATAAACTCCCATTTACACTTGGTGAGTCACGCAGGGCATTTAAAAGAAAAGGGGGATCACGCAGGTCATGCAGGCCATTCTCACACGCAGGGGTTCCGCTTTTTATCCACGCAGCAAGCTCCATCACTCCTTTTCTCTCTGCTGAAGGCCCACCTCTGCCCTTCTCACCTCCACGCCAGAGGCGATTACCCTCCTACAGATAGCTCCCCTTGGTTTTATCTACTACATGTGAGACCTCCGTATACTTTATTTTGATCCGGTTGCAGCAGATTTGGGGGGTGAAAACCTTAGATTTGGGGTTTTCACCCCACGCATTGCAATCAGTCTAATAACATCAAAATTATACAAGACCACTTTTTGTTCTAAACAGCTTAAACAGCACACCCATAGAGTTTATTTTCTTCGGGACAACGCAAAGGTTACACAAGCACATCATGCCCACTTCTGACTATGGCTTGATTGATCAAAGATTAAGACCACTCATTAAACAAGAGTGCATTGAACTTAATGGCTCAACAAGAGAGGGATGAACCAAAGAATTGGCTCTACAAATAAAGCACGCTTCTTCACCCAATCACCCCTAGGGATGTCATAATCCTCGTCACAGATTTTCTGGATTCTAAAACAATACATATATGATATGTATGATGCTGTAATGAAAGATCATGCCATATGATGAAGCATGGAAGTGTCAAAATAAGGTCCCTTCATATGCAAAATTCATACATACGCACACATACATGTGTGTGAGATTGTGTGAGTCTGAGAATGACCACCCTAATATTTCCATTCATTCAATGAAGTTGTAAGTGTCCAGCTGCATGATTTACTAATAATTTATAGAAGCCTGACTAAAAGATTCTTCATGAGAGCTTCTTAATACCACCACCCCACCCCACCAACTGGCTGTTTTCCTAGACAGAGCAGGTGTGCAAAAGTACACGAAAAGGATAAGCCAAAATCCAAAATAGGCTGGGGAAAATTGGATTACTAACTAACTATAATATGTCACTTCACAGCAGTATACAGGCTTCAATGATGTGAAAGATTGATTGCCCATATATATGGAATGTACAAGAAGAAGAGATTCCCAAGAATGTAGAGCTATGAATTCTTGAAGAATAACAAGTACACTACTAAGCTTTGCTCTCTCTTCACAGAAATATAGGAGCCATGACCAGAGTGATAGTTGCCAGCATTTTTATGAGTACGTGCAACGAAGGTCCAGCTGTATCTTTGAAAGGGTCTCCTACACTGTAGGAGGGAAATTCAATCAAATTTAGGACAATTCCGCATGTCAGAGATATACATTTTCCCCACTTAGTCTCAATAACTATTTTGTCACTTTCATTCCCTGCACTATGATTTTTGCCACATTTAGTCCCCATAACCCCTTTTAAATCACACCAAGATCTGACGCACGATTAATTCTGGTGAGTTTGGCCGGAAAATTAAACGAGGACTACTGTGTAAAAAACCACAGAAGTAAATGTGACAAGCATAATTGTTGTATCACACTGAGTTAAAGAGACTTGCAAAATTTGGAATAAAATGAAACACACACACATACACACGCAAACACATGCAAGTAGAACATGAAAAGAAAACCACTTACGTATCACCGGTAATTGCTGCTTTGTGGCAGTCGCTTCCTTTGCCGCCAAGAGCACCAGTTTCAATGTACTTCTTTGCATTATCCCAGGCCCCACCAGCAGTGTTGAGGAATAGAGCCATCAGAATACCAGACACTGTAGCAAACATCAACATTGATGCCACAACTTTTGCTCCAAGCAGTGGCTGCCCTGTGTAATATCCCAACATCCGGAATACCAAACCTGTAATGAGTGGTCAAATGAGCCACCTAATTTTCTTGTTTCTGTTTACAGGCTGATAAGGCCAACTAATATATGATATCTTTGGTTTTAAAAACGCCACTCGTAATAGTTAGTATGAGCACTCACGAATATAAAGGAAAACACATGAGCTTATTAACATTAATTTTCATGTGAGAAAAGAAGAGCCTTATATAGATCTGCAAGCAACAAAAAAGTAAAAAACCAAATTTTAGAGAACAAACCAACAACAGCAGGTGATATAATAGCCAAGGCTCCAGGTTTTATCATCTCTCTTAGAGATGCAGAAGCAACGATAGATACACATCGACCATAATCTGGTTTCTCTTTGTAGTCCTACACCAATCATTTTCCGGAAAAATAATTAGAAAAGCAAATAGAGCATCATAGGCAGCATACGACTTTAATAATTAATACTAATACATGATTGGAGAATATATCAAAGATGAAGAACACAAACCATTATTCCTGGCCTCTCAATGAATTGTCTCCTGACTTCATTGACAACTTCTTGAGCGGTCCGACCAACTGCCGAGCAAGCCCATGCACTGAACAGAAATATAAGCATAGAGCCCAGTAACCCACCAACAAATACCTCAGGTATGGCAATATCAACCTATGTGATGAATTTTAGATACCAAAATTGATTTAGAAAACAAAGATTATAAATACACATACTATGTTGGTAAAAAAGAAACCAATTAACAAGTTGGTGGGTATTTTAGTGCAAAACCATACTTGCTTAAAAGGTGCATTAGAAAATGCAGCAACTTCATCCATGTAAGCACTGAATAGAAGAAATGAAGCCAAGGCTGCAGATCCAATAGCAAATCCTTTGGTTGTGGCTTTAGTAGTGTTTCCAACCGCATCAAGAACATCAGTTATCTCACGAACACTTTCTGGCTGCAGCAATATTATTATTCATTATACTATAGTCCACTCTGTAAATTATCTTTTATAACAGATCTCATTAGTAGCTTTGTAAATATCTAACAAATATGGAGTTGGATTGTGAAGCTTTACCTGTTGACTCATCTCAACTATTCCACCAGCATTATCGGCTATAGGACCAAACATGTCCATGGTAAGAACGTATGCTGCTGTGCTCAGCATTCCCATGGTTGCAACAGCTGTCCCAAACAACCCGCCAGTTGGATTTCCTGAATCATCTATCAGTCCTGACGTACGACCCAGCCAGAAAGCCGAGACAATGGATACACTGATGACAAGAACTGGAAGAGCTGTAGCTTCCAAACCCAGACTAACACCAGCAATTATATTAGTTCCATGGCCTGTTGCGCTAGAAAGGGCTAAGGTGCGCACAGGCTCATGTTTATAGTCAGTGTAGTACTGTGTTATCCAAACGAATGCATATGCTGTTATAATTCCAACCAAACCACAGAGTGCAAAATTTAACCAAGCAGAAGGTGCTTGTTCAGTGTATAATAACCACCGCGTGGACTGCAAGTAAATTGTTAAGACATAATAATCAGACACAATTACGCTCCACATACCATTTCCTCTAATGTTCCCAAAAAGAAACAATATTAAAAATGATAAAGCACATACAATGAATTGAGGTTGAGTGAAGATGAAATTACCACTCCAAAGGTCAGAACAGCTAACAATATTGTAATTGAATATCCCTTTTGAAGAATTGCCATAGGATCCTCTATGGCACCAATTATTCCAGCCTCACGTTTGTTCCGAATAGAGAGTATGCCAACAGATGAAATAATCAGATCAAATGAGTGAACAACAAGCGGAAATAAAATGAATCCAGATGGATCTGCATGACAAAGAACAGAGAATATTATACAAGACACTATTGCATCCATCTGCATAATCAAGAGTAATGTCATAAGATTCAGCTAACAAAATATACTCGGAAGATTCAAAATAAATTAACCACAAATGGAAAACAAAGGAGCAAATGAGCCAACATCAATATTAATTAAACACATAAATCATCTACACGACTTCAATACAATAAGCGCTGTCCAAAGCTGAAACTTTTTTATCTGTTACATACCCACATCTATTCACATTCAGATCAGGTTCCATCTCCACAGAACAATCACACAGATAGAATATTGTAACAAATTAAGGGCACACTGTACATATCCTTCTCAGATTTACAGTTCGCTAAAATGGAAAGCCATTGTCAGAATTAAGTTAGAATAAATGGATGAGCCAAAAGCCCTAAATCAATTAAAGAAAGCAAATATGTAATCAATCAGCTAAAACTGCAGTCCACCAATATAGATGTGGTTGCGATCTATGTGGAGATTTAACCCATTTATGAATGAATCTCTCACCTTCAATTTTGCAGCGTCGGGCCATAGTTCCACCAAGTATCATCGCACTAATAATTTCTGCAGCAATACTTTCAAAAAGATCAGCACCCCTAGCAGCACAATCACCAACATTGTCTCCGACCTTCAATTCAAGTTACAGACAACCATGAATACATTATAACAAAATCACGAATTTATAAAAAGACAGCAAAACTATGCCAGACGAGTCCAACTCACACAGAGCTTCTTTTCTGTGAATTGATTCATTTATTCAATGCAGAATGAATATATATCAAAATCACATATGTGTAAAAAACATTGTTGAAAATTTATATCAAGTGAATACAAATAAAGAAGAGTTTCATTTTGATGAGTTGAATACTTTAATTATCCAGCCCAAAAGCAACAAATAGCAAAAAACTTCAAATTGATCATAACAAAGAGTAATTTTTTCTTCAAGGCAGATATTGAAGAAAATAAAATTTTATATTATATTTCCAGCAAATTAAACGGAGTAATAAATTTCCACAAGAACACAAATGCAAGATACTCCATGTCACTGACCACTTGGAGATTTGAAGGTCAGCAACTCCAGCCCCCCACCCCCGTCAAACATCAATAAACTAAGACTGATAAGTTGGAC